CATACATACATACATACATATATATATATATATATATATATACACATACACACACACACTAATTAAAAAAGTTAATATATGCACTGCACTCCTTATAAATGCAGTCTGTGTAAATTATTACAAAAAAATTCTAGATTGGACTAGAATTTATGAAAAATGTCCAAAACTGGATATGACGCAAAGAAAGATATTTAATATTATGTAGGTGTTGTACATAAATACATCAAAACTGATTTATTTTGCAGATTCAGAGAGGACACATGCACTTAAAGCTTTTATGACTGAGAACACATTCCAGGATTAGATAACGTATCCAAGCCATTACAGATAAACCTGCGTGTCTTAGCAATTAGGATGTGATTTAAGCAGGTAAACAAACTTAAGTCAATGCTTTACATTTCATGGTGTTTTTTCCCCCCAAAGACCACTTCAGAGGAAGCACATGTAACAAAACCTGTTTCCCAATTTTTCACAGAGGGAAAAAATTTCAGATGCATCCAAGTGCACACATGTATGCGAACACAGCCAAGTCTGAAACAGCACTAAACTTCACTTCCTTTATCAATCAGGTTGAAGCCACACCAGAGTGACCCAAGGAAAAGAAAAAAACAGCAGTCAAAGTGCCTTTGGACAAGAGAAGAGAATTTAAACCAACACCCAACATTCCACATAATCAGCACATCTCGTCCAGAACACTGCTCTGCCTCTCTGGAGAATAGATGTGGGAAATTATTGACAGAGAAGTAAACACGGAATAATGGGATGCACTTGCCCAAGGACAGTCTGATGGACTCAACATGGAGCCAATGTTAAAACACAAGACGACAGAGAAAGAAAACAGAAAACGCATCTGGCATAGTGCGTTCTGAACCTGTCTGCCAAAAAAGAAATGTTTTGAAAAAAAACATTTTTTCCATCGTTTCATCATGAAAAAGGGATAGCCATGGTTTTGCGTTTCGATATCAGATTATCGAGACTCGTCAGTCATTGCTGATGTTTCGCACGACATGCCTCGATGGGGTTACAATTCAGAGCCACGATGACAAATTGAGTTAGTTCGCTGCAACGAGAGAGCTTTGCTTTTCTCTGTGCCAGAACTGAAAATCATTAATTGCATGAACGTTTCCTTTTGCTTCTGTTTGCCAGCAGACAGGTAGATTTTTGCAGTAAATCTGTGACCAAAAGCTTTTCGTTTTTGTGTGAAACTGTGAGTGTATGACTGTGGAATATATTCAATATATTTTGATATGTAAATGTTGTACAAATGAGACTTAAAAATCCCTATAACAAACATATAAGCGTCTGACGTACGATGGGATGTGTATATTTAAAAGAAAATATATTTAAATAAATTATGATTGTTTAAACACCGTGGTCTTTAATGTTGTAAAAATACACCAAAAAATTTAAAGGTTAATCTTCTGCAGCATAAAACAGCCTCTATCTAGTTTAACAGCTTATCTTGGCATCAGAAAATATATATTTTTAAGGGAGTTCAAGATCTCTTATCACTCATGGTGGATGCTTCGGATGCTTCAGAGATATTGCATTTTTTTGTAACCACACCAAAGATAACAGTCAACTTCTGTTAATAAATAAATATCTTAGTAATGGGGAAAAAAATCTCCAGTGTTCCCAAAAGGATGAAGAGGATGAATGAGAGAGGAAAGGACAAGTAATCAGAACTGGCACAACCACAGTCATTTTCAATAAATGAGATGTAAAGCCATAAAGATGCACTAAAAATTTACAAAAAACTGTCGGTGTGTGAGGAGGAAATAGAATTTCAGGCGAACATAACTTCAGCATTTCCAGCCGGTTTATTTAGGTGAATTTACTCTCTTCAGAAGGTATGGTCAACAAAAGCAGTTTACAGCTGCTCAAACAAGCTTCGCATGACATTACAACTTATTTTACAATTAAAGACAAAGTGCTTCTCTATACACTGCTATCGTTTGGTTTGTGTTTTGCTTATGAAGACACTTGATCAATATTTCAATCGATTATTATTTACGTTCGAGCATCTCATGATGAGGCATCGTGGGTTTCAGGAGATGGTCACAGTGTGTGTGTGTGTTATGAGTGCTGCTCCAGGAAGGCTTTGCAGCATCTCACACACTGTTCATACACCGTCTCAAAGTCTTTATCACTCCCCTGCAGGCGAAAACAAACAGAAACCATTCAAATGTAACCGTAAACAGAAATTATACAGCCAAGCATATCAGCAACAGACATATGCGAACTTAAGAATGATCAAAAGACAGTAGAGCTGAAATGTTTTGGTAACTGATTTAAACAGCAGCTTTAGCTCTAATTTACAGCCTTACCTTTTCTCTTGCCTTACCTTTTCTCATATGCTTATGTGCCTTAGTAGTACTTTTTTTTTGCCTAATTTGAGCTAAAGAAGCAACAGCAACACAAAAAAAACCTATAATAAGTTGTTTTAAATGCTACAAGTGAATTTAGGCATCATAATGTAAAGTGAAATTTTTTGTTGTTGTAGTATTTACTTTTAAACAGTTTTCACTGAGCAATTGATAGTAAATTTCACAAATAATTAAAAAAAAATGCAAGTAGCAGATGGAATTAAATGTAAAATTTTGAAGTAGAAAGACTGAAATACTATTTTCTTGTAAAACGTTCTCCAATAGTCTGTTTTATTGTGTTTTTAAAAATTAACTTAAGCGAGCATTAGATGATGTAAAAGGTAAATCTAAATCTAAAAGTAAAAAAATTGAAGAAATGAAAATTTCTATAGACTGCAATAAACTGCAATATGGAAGAATAAAAATATGACAGGGCATGCAAAAAATATAATAAAGGCTTTGCACAAGTGTTATTTTAATATTATTTATACTATTATAGTATTTATTCCTATTCTGAATTGGCTTTTATTTTTTACATTTTCAGTTTTCATTTAAATTTTATGTGCTTTTGTCATTTTGTTTAAATGTATATTTAGCTTTATTTTATTTCAGTTTTAGTAATTTTAGTGCTTCGACTTATCTTATTTGCCAAGGCAACATTTCTCATTTTCGTTTATGTTTATAAGTTTAACTTTTGTCATCTAATATTTATATTTTTATTTTATCTCAGTTACCAAAATCGATGTTTAATGGTTTCATTTTTGTTAACAATAACGGTTAACCATCAGGCTCTTCTATTAGCTCAGTTTGAGAAGTTCAAATGCTAAAATAGCCGTGGATCTCATCTTTGGACACACAACGTACCATCACCATCAAAAGAAACTGCACTCAAAGGACCACACTTCCTCTCACACTTGAATCTTGGGGGACTAAACGGGAAATCTCAGCTATCTGAAGAGTGATCATCACCACAGGAGTATCTGGCTGGCGAACTGTCCGACGAAGAGGCCAGTTTCCTATTCTGTCATGGTAGAAAGGCCTAGCTACTTCAGCCAGCTGGCTGTCAGCCATGAAGAAACACTAGAGAGGAAACATCCAACTTTATACCTTCAAGGATTATCTTCAACAACCTTAGCGTGGCTGTGACACACATGCGCTGGAAGCCTTCAGCCTAGCGAAACTTCTTCAAAATGTGCCCTGAATCAGTCCTTAGTCATCCTCTTGCCGAAAAGAGAGTTTGTTGATCTTCACAGATGTGTCTTGGAGAGTTGGTGGTGTGAGCGGGATGACCTGACAGTGTCTGGAGGAGGAATGCTAATGATCTCAGCTGGGGTGGCCCATCGGGTTCTTTCCATTTTCTATTTCCCAACACACAAACCCGGTCCCTCCCGATCATCTCTCATAATCGACAATGCTTCCCTCCAAACATCAGTTTTGTGGTTTTATATGTTGGCTGAATCAACCGTTCTGTCATAATTGAGTGTTTGTGACACTAAACACCTCTGTTTAAAACACTAAATAATACCCTTACATTGGCTTCACATTAACAGATGTAGAAAAACCACAGATTCATCCAGAGTTTTTGACCTAATTGTTAAAAGGTGCATTAAAAATGACAATTTTGGCATCATTTATTCACCTTGACGTTACAAACCCATATGACTGTCCTCCATGACACGCAAAAGGAGATGCATTGAATAATGTGGACGCTCTTTTCCATGCAATAACAATAGAAGGAGGGCTAAAGCTAGGGCTGGGCGATATGGCAAAAAATAAAATCTAGATTTTTTTCAGAATGTTTGAAAGATTCAAGATTTTGATTTCTTACCATTTAAGTAGTCAACTTAATGTTATTACAACATGATTCAAGTAACATTCTCTTTATTAACCATCTGGTTAAAGAAAGTTCTATTCCAAGTGCACCACATATGAAGTGGTCAACATAGTAGGGCTAGGAAAAAAAAAATATTGATTTCTCGATTTTAATAGATTCTCGGTTTTATGAAACAATATCGATTCATAAATCCCAAGAATCGATTAGTCTAGCCTGTCAGATAATGAACGGAACATTGTAGCGCGCCTCCCATCCTATAAATTGCAATAAGCTATTATTAAATGCTGTTTTGGCGCGGTTTAATGTGGAGTGACAGATCGCTGTGAACTGATCGTCTCCTCCACTTTAATAGCAGTTACAGCATGAAATAAACATGAATAAACATCTGAATGTATGTTAAAGGAAAGAGTACAACTTACCGAAATCTGTATCCTGTCTCATGTAATCGCTCAATCAGTGTTTCAAGCGTGGAAAGACGACAATAGCTTGTCATGTAACGTCACATTTACCACAGAAAAACATATTCGGTGACCATGAACTCATTAGTCAGCTAGAAAAATGAACTCTAGAGAGGAGCATTTTGCTAAATATGTACCATATAACATTCATTATAATTTTTTGACTGTTCTTTGATATTTAATTTATTTAATTTAACTGACAACCACCATTTAAATGTTTATATTTCAAAAAATGAATTGGAGTAGAAATATAATTATGTAATTTAAAGTTAAAGTTAGTATTATAACTTTAATATTACAAAAACGTTGAGTATATTTTAAGTTTGTATACAAATCTGCAAATTTCAACCTTCCATATTATTGACTCTTAAGTATATTTTATAGCATTAGGCTAGTTGAGAGATTTATTTTTTTCCTTGAGAAAATTTGCCATGTCCTGTACCTGATATAACAGACATATGCGAACTTAAGAATGATCAAAAGACAGTAGAGCTGAAATGTTTTGGTAACTGATTTAAACAGCAGCTTTAGCTCTAATTTACAGCCTTACCTTTTCTCTTGCCTTACCTTTTCTCATATGCTTATGTGCCTTAGTAGTACTTTTTTTTTGCCTAATTTGAGCTAAAGAAGCAACAGCAACACAAAAAAAACCTATAATAAGTTGTTTTAAATGCTACAAGTGAATTTAGGCATCATAATGTAAAGTGAAATTTTTTGTTGTTGTAGTATTTACTTTTAAACAGTTTTCACTGAGCAATTGATAGTAAATTTCACAAATAATTAAAAAAAAATGCAAGTAGCAGATGGAATTAAATGTAAAATTTTGAAGTAGAAAGACTGAAATACTATTTTCTTGTAAAACGTTCTCCAATAGTCTGTTTTATTGTGTTTTTAAAAATTAACTTAAGCGAGCATTAGATGATGTAAAAGGTAAATCTAAATCTAAAAGTAAAAAAATTGAAGAAATGAAAATTTCTATAGACTGCAATAAACTGCAATATGGAAGAATAAAAATATGACAGGGCATGCAAAAAATATAATAAAGGCTTTGCACAAGTGTTATTTTAATATTATTTATACTATTATAGTATTTATTCCTATTCTGAATTGGCTTTTATTTTTTACATTTTCAGTTTTCATTTAAATTTTATGTGCTTTTGTCATTTTGTTTAAATGTATATTTAGCTTTATTTTATTTCAGTTTTAGTAATTTTAGTGCTTCGACTTATCTTATTTGCCAAGGCAACATTTCTCATTTTCGTTTATGTTTATAAGTTTAACTTTTGTCATCTAATATTTATATTTTTATTTTATCTCAGTTACCAAAATCGATGTTTAATGGTTTCATTTTTGTTAACAATAACGGTTAACCATCAGGCTCTTCTATTAGCTCAGTTTGAGAAGTTCAAATGCTAAAATAGCCGTGGATCTCATCTTTGGACACACAACGTACCATCACCATCAAAAGAAACTGCACTCAAAGGACCACACTTCCTCTCACACTTGAATCTTGGGGGACTAAACGGGAAATCTCAGCTATCTGAAGAGTGATCATCACCACAGGAGTATCTGGCTGGCGAACTGTCCGACGAAGAGGCCAGTTTCCTATTCTGTCATGGTAGAAAGGCCTAGCTACTTCAGCCAGCTGGCTGTCAGCCATGAAGAAACACTAGAGAGGAAACATCCAACTTTATACCTTCAAGGATTATCTTCAACAACCTTAGCGTGGCTGTGACACACATGCGCTGGAAGCCTTCAGCCTAGCGAAACTTCTTCAAAATGTGCCCTGAATCAGTCCTTAGTCATCCTCTTGCCGAAAAGAGAGTTTGTTGATCTTCACAGATGTGTCTTGGAGAGTTGGTGGTGTGAGCGGGATGACCTGACAGTGTCTGGAGGAGGAATGCTAATGATCTCAGCTGGGGTGGCCCATCGGGTTCTTTCCATTTTCTATTTCCCAACACACAAACCCGGTCCCTCCCGATCATCTCTCATAATCGACAATGCTTCCCTCCAAACATCAGTTTTGTGGTTTTATATGTTGGCTGAATCAACCGTTCTGTCATAATTGAGTGTTTGTGACACTAAACACCTCTGTTTAAAACACTAAATAATACCCTTACATTGGCTTCACATTAACAGATGTAGAAAAACCACAGATTCATCCAGAGTTTTTGACCTAATTGTTAAAAGGTGCATTAAAAATGACAATTTTGGCATCATTTATTCACCTTGACGTTACAAACCCATATGACTGTCCTCCATGACACGCAAAAGGAGATGCATTGAATAATGTGGACGCTCTTTTCCATGCAATAACAATAGAAGGAGGGCTAAAGCTAGGGCTGGGCGATATGGCAAAAAATAAAATCTAGATTTTTTTCAGAATGTTTGAAAGATTCAAGATTTTGATTTCTTACCATTTAAGTAGTCAACTTAATGTTATTACAACATGATTCAAGTAACATTCTCTTTATTAACCATCTGGTTAAAGAAAGTTCTATTCCAAGTGCACCACATATGAAGTGGTCAACATAGTAGGGCTAGGAAAAAAAAAATATTGATTTCTCGATTTTAATAGATTCTCGGTTTTATGAAACAATATCGATTCATAAATCCCAAGAATCGATTAGTCTAGCCTGTCAGATAATGAACGGAACATTGTAGCGCGCCTCCCATCCTATAAATTGCAATAAGCTATTATTAAATGCTGTTTTGGCGCGGTTTAATGTGGAGTGACAGATCGCTGTGAACTGATCGTCTCCTCCACTTTAATAGCAGTTACAGCATGAAATAAACATGAATAAACATCTGAATGTATGTTAAAGGAAAGAGTACAACTTACCGAAATCTGTATCCTGTCTCATGTAATCGCTCAATCAGTGTTTCAAGCGTGGAAAGACGACAATAGCTTGTCATGTAACGTCACATTTACCACAGAAAAACATATTCGGTGACCATGAACTCATTAGTCAGCTAGAAAAATGAACTCTAGAGAGGAGCATTTTGCTAAATATGTACCATATAACATTCATTATAATTTTTTGACTGTTCTTTGATATTTAATTTATTTAATTTAACTGACAACCACCATTTAAATGTTTATATTTCAAAAAATGAATTGGAGTAGAAATATAATTATGTAATTTAAAGTTAAAGTTAGTATTATAACTTTAATATTACAAAAACTTTGATTATATTTTAAATTAGATTACAGCTCATTTCAACCTTATTGACTCTCAGGTATATTTTACAGCATTAGTTGAGAGATTTTTTTTTTTCCTTAAAAAAATTTGCCATTTCCTGTACCTGATTTATATCCAAAATAACTGATATTGAATCGAATCGCAAGCTCGTGAAGGATAATTGAATCAAATTGTGAAATTTGTCAAAAAACCCAGCCCTACAACATAACAAACGACTTTTTAAATATGAAGTATGAGATATGAAGACAAATATTGTACAAACTTGTCTTCAACATGTTCTATATGTTCAGAAATAACAAAATAATAAAAATGCTAAATATTTCTTAGCCAAAAAAGACATTCAGTTTTAGAGGTCAACTCTAGGGATGCACCGAATGTTCGGCAACCGAAATTATTCGGCCGAAAATAGCAAAAAAAGCTCTTTCGGTGTTCGGCCGAATAAGCGAAAAGACCGAATAAATTGTACCGAACAATGACGTGACGCGATCAAATTGCAACCAGCGCAGAGTGAGAGGTGCGCATTCTTTATAATGCAGCACACATGTCAGCAGTGTGGAAGCATTTAAAACTGTCCGAGAAAGACGCAAAAATCATTACAATCACCGACAGCAAGAGACTGTTTAGTACTGCAGCGCATGTCTTCGATGAAAAGAGGAAGGGGTGATTGTTGCTGGTTACTGTACGATGATTGAAATCGTGAAATGGGCTTAAACAATTAGTAAATAAACTGCAGAACGTTATGTTTGCTAATACACATACGCATTGCATGTATTCTGACAGCGCTGCACGAACTCACCGTGCTATCTGCTTGTTAACCAGGGTTCAAAGTCCAAAGCTCGAGGAAAATCTGCGCTGAAACTGTGTTACTCGTCAGCTGCTCAGTAACATTTTTATGAATTTTTACAAGGCATGTGACAATGC